TCAGAACATTTTGCACTGTAATTTTGCTGCCAAGATTAACACTGCTTTTGTTGTTGCATCACACAGTTTTTTGAGCATCTGAGCATTTAATTTTTAAGACACTGTGTCAACTACTGATAATGAATCTCAAGGAACTCTATTTTTGTTTGACATTTGCGTTATCTTGCATTGGTAACAAGCCTCCACAAGCGTTCATGTCTGCGGTTGCCAGATTTCAAGAGTTTAAATCCCCCAATCTTCCCCATCAGTGATATTTTGCTCAAATGAAAGTGTAATTCAGACAGTCTGTTTCCTTTCATGCAGCCATTTGCACTGTTTGCTGCAACTAAATCTGTGAGCAAACCTCAGTGATGAACTGCAATAAATCTGAACATAAATGTTATCTATATTGTTTGTGATTGTGGTTGCAAAATAAATGCACGCAACCTCTGCACCACAATACAAGTTGCTATTTTAATTAAAATACCTTAACATAATCTGGAATTGTTGGAGATAGGAATTTCACTGGTTTAACATTTGAAAAATTTAAACCCACCACTTTCTTACAATAGACTGCAAGCTTGCATTCAGATCTGCCTCCAACCAATCAGCAACTGATGGACAGAAGTCCCAACCCTGAATTTTTTTCATTTTACTTGGATGTCACAACACGGAAGATCTGTATACCTGGACTTCAAGACCTAGTCGGTTTCAAATATATGACGTTTTTCACATCCCTGTTTGACTTTTAACTAAATCAGATGTGTAAAAAACGCATATGTTCACAGAAGCGAAAGTTACCTAAATGCCGCCCCCTCTCGTGACTTGCGTTGTGTCGTTTTATCAGCTATCGGTTCATGTTTGACGATCTGTGCCTGCGCCCTGCTATCGCAATGATTAAGAAGAGGCAATGTTTGCAGCCTCTAGGATAACAATTTAATTAACGGAGGCAGCCATGTAAACAATCTTATTGGTGGCCAATCCATTTTCCTAATTGCTAAAGCCTTCATTAGGACGTTTTATCTGGTCCAGTTGCAATTCTGAAAATGTTAATGGACGTTATTATGCTATTATAGTAATGGGCATTACTCTTACACACAAATACACTTTGACATTACAACATTTTCCACATTCAACTCAGCAACAAACAAGGAAGAGACAAATTGTGGCTGGCAGCAAATAAGACGCTGGCATTATTCAGCCGCTGAAACTGGATAATTAACAGGTAGGTATGATTTGTTGCTGTCATAGCAGGAATGCTCTCATCTGCGTAATCAAGATCTTCACTCCAGTCTCTGCGGTTTTGTCGTTAAGTGGTGCGACGGCGTAGTGCTCTCTCTTTCTCCAAACCCTCTCTGCCCTCTTCAAAGGAGTGAGCAGTAGCCCTATTGCGGATCCATGCCCATGGTGCACCATGTCTAACCTGATTATCACTTGAGCTCAATTATCAGGTCACCCGCTGAGTGTGTAACTGCTGGATTATGGTTTAATGAGCTTACCTATAGGAGTTCACACAAAAAGCATCACCCCAATTACATACAATCTTACATTCTGATGTGCCGTCTCAGTTGGGAGAGATAGGGAGGAAAAGACTCAGAACCGTTAATGCTAGAAACATAACCTACCATACCCATCATCCCCCACTCCCCTGCCCATCTCAACCCTCCCCCACTGCCACACACACTCCTGATGCCTAAAGAATAACATTCCATCTTGATTGCATTCTTATGTGAGACAATCAACAGGAGTAGACAGCGCCTTTTCTTTCTGTTTCTTATTCCCGCCACATTTTTCTCACCTCACCCTGATCACGACGGCTAATGAACAATCTCACCAAGTGACTAACAAGCCCATTTCAGCAGCTGGTCTGAAAAGAGCTTTCAATTCAGCCAATGGACAATGGCTCAAAGAAAAGCAGCAAGTGGCAAGCAGCCACTTTACCCCATATCAGCATTTTTAATAAAGCATTGAACTATAATGGACTTTGACAAGAACATTCTAACATTTGTAGTCGAAGTCATGCTGATAAAGGAGAAAGCCGCCCGACTCTATCGGTATAATGCACGGTATTGATACTGAATGGCCCCCTGGGGGTGAGTGATAGAGGGATCTAAGAGAGATGGATGGTGGCGTCTCGCTGCTGACGGACTTCCAGTAAATATGACATTAGAGCACAGAGCGTGTATTACTACCAGTAAAAGCTTATACATTAAAGGACTGAAGATGCATTAATTGAGGTGGTCACAGTTAAAACCATCAGACATGAACCGCATTAGGACTGGGAAATGTTAAAGAGCTATAATTTTGAGAGACACTATGCTTCTCTGAATACATGCCCCACACATCTCCGATATTTATTTCACATTGAGTTATAAGAGGAACCATAGAGATGTATCACGACCTCATAAAATTACTAGAGAAAAATAAAATTCATTGGTCTGTATAGCTTCATTTTGGAAGATCTCGCACTGGTTTTGCCATATAATGATTTTTGGTTTCCAGAAAGTTTAGTAGAAACTAAATCACTATTTGAGAATAGCAGAAACCTTCCTTAAGCTTTTTGAATTAAATAGGTTTGCTTAACATACATAGAATGTTCTTAAATTGGTAGCTATCAGTTACCAATAAAATTGGCTAATTTGTTTTCACAAAAAAACATAAAATTACCAACAAAATTGAAATGTTATATGACTTGGTGATGGACAGGGAAAAGAAAATGACAGATCAAAGAGCCTGTCTGGAAAGATAAATTATAATAGAAAGTTCAATAATGTGCCTTGAAAACTTAAGTGAATGAAAGTAAATATATATTGTG